TGCAGAGTGCTTCTCTTGGGCCTGTGGCAATGCCAGGGTAGGTGAGGAATGAAAATAGAAGTCAGTAATGAGCATATCGGAGTGGGCAAGAGTTACCCAGAGCCTGAGAGATGATGACTGAAAGGTGGGCATCCTGAAAGTACCACCCCTGTCTCCTGGGCTGGCATGAGACCTCAGCTCCACCCTGTTGCCAGGTTTGTGTTGGGTGGACTCTTATTCAGACATCACACAAAAGCATACTACATTGAATCAGAAGAGAAACTCCTATGCTGTACTTTTTTTCTGCATAAGTCATTTCTTTCTACAGAGGGAACTGGCTGTCTGCGTCATTCAGATGCCTCTTAAGGTGGTATTGCTACAGGAAACAGACGAAACGGGAAGAACTGCACCTGGAGGTTAGGAGGCAGTTTATTGCACCAGTGGGCTTCTGACTGGGATCTCCCCCAAAGAGTTAGAGCCCTGCTCGGCAGGGTTTTTTTTTTTTTTGGGGGGGTGCTTTTAAAGGGAAAGTGAGCGGGAGGTGCATAGGCAGATTTGGTGCATGATTGGAGGGTTGGGTGACATCACGGGTTGCTGGAGGAGTTTGAACATCTCAAGTTACATTGCAAGGCCATCAGTTACAAAGGCAGCAAAGACGGGTTTATACAGAGGATGAAGTGCTCTGTTATGGGGCCTGCCGGACATGTCCTCTTGGTCTTGGCAGGCATCCTGGGCAGGCTTTTATTTAACATTTTAATTTCCCCCTTCAGTATCTGTGCAGGGCTGCGGCTGTGTGTGTGCTTACAGTCTGGGTTTCCTCTTTCCCTGACCTCGGAATTCCTCACATCCCAGGATGCATCCCCTGGGGATGTCAACCCAATGGATGTCTAGGCAGGCAGGTGGACATCACTTCTAACTCTGTCTTCTCCTGGGACTGCAAGCCACTGATTAGTGAAGAGACATTTTCATGGGTATCGCAGGCGTCAATCTTTATCTCTTATGCGTGATTCTTCTGCCAAGAGGGGAAGGATTTAATTGTGTTGTTTTAAAGATAGGTGTGTGTAGACCAGTGAGTCTCAGCCAGGGCAGGTTTTGCCTTCCTAAGGACATCTGGCAGTGCCTGAGACACTTTGGATTGTCACAACAGGTAGAGGGATTTTACCAGTGCTTAGGAATCAGGGTCCCCAGAGAGCTTCACAAGGTACAGACTGTCCTATAGGCACGAGCAACCCTGAAGGTCAGTGGAGAGGCAAGAACTCTGCTTTCTGCCCTTCCCCAGAGTCCCGTGGAATTTCCCCTCACCAGCTCCTTCCATCCTACCTGCTGCTCCTCAGACCTCAGCTCCTTCCTCCTACGCCATCACTTCCATCCTCTGAACTTGGTTAAGGTCAGCCCCAACTCTCCCCTCCCCTGGCCCCTTTGCTCTTTTGGCAGGAAGTGTACACTAGAGGGCGCTCATGCTCCTCCCTGAGTTCCTGTGACCCGGGCTGTCCCTGACACAAATGCAGCTGCTTATCCCGCCCAGCCCTACCCTTCGGACAGACTTTAGATTCCCCAGGGTGAAGCCCCTGGGTCAGGCATAGGGGCTTGGGGAGGAACCTCACCATAGGGTGTGGTGACATGGACTGGTGACTCAGGACCAACGTGAGGGCCCAGGTCACCGGGGAGAGGAAGGCCCTTTATACAGTGGCTGGATCCCCAGGACTCACACAATATTTCCTATGTGTGCCACTGGGGGAAAGGGCAGTGAGCCAGTACCTCTAAAGGCTCTGTCACTTAAGGTCTGTGTACGTGGATCTTGTTTGGGCTCCAGTGGAACCTTTTAGACTGGACCTTCCACAGTGAGAAACTGGTCCCCCTGGTCCCCCAAGCAGTGTCCTCACCTGGAAGAACCGGGGCGGGGGGTGGGGGATGTGACAGCCACCATGGCGCAGATTCCCATCAGAGCCTGAGGAGGCAGGGAGTCTCTGGACTTCGTTGTCACTCAGAATCAGGACCACTCCATCTCAGCAGGACACACCAGTGGTTGGGGGAAATTGGGTCTCCCCACTGCCCCAATACAGGGTAGATGTGGACCTGCGACCTTCCCATAGAGTCAGATAACGGAGGAACCCAGGTAAGTTCTGGGAGGTGATGTGGGGAATTGCTGCTGTTCCTGGAGGTGGGAGCAGGTAGTTGACTGAGGAGGCTCATAGCCTTCTAAATGCTGTAGGCTGAGTCCCAGGGCTAGAGTGGCTCCTCTGAGAATTCAGCCTGGTCCCAGGAAACAGCCCAGAACGTCTCACATCAGTGCTGGCAGTTAAAGCTCCTCAGCTCAGTGCCTGAGCTCCCAGCTCCAACTCCCATCTGAGGTCCTCAGTCCTGCATCAACACTTTGTCTCCATCCTCCCCCGGGGCTTTGGAGAGGTCCTCAGCACGTCCCTATCCCCACCAGGGAGACTGGCAGGCTGGAGACGCAGTCCTGCCTTCCTGATCAGCTGGGGGGCCCATTCTCGGGCTCTGAGTCAGTTTTGCAGGGGGTGGCATCCGATGAACGGTTGAGAGGGGGCAGGGGACCACAGTCACCTCCCTGTGTGTGTGTAAGTCATCCTGCTGCTCTGAAAACCACTGAACTTGATAATTTTGGTGGCGGTAGTTGTGCTGGGCGGACTTGGAAATTAACTAGAAACATGAGGGTGTTTTTGCATCTTGAGTTTGGAGCGGCAGGTTCCCCGCAGAGACCATGGTCGTCCTCAGTCCCACCCACGTGGGGCACAGACTTCAGGTTTGGCACTGGGGGCTGCCATCAGCCTGGCCCAGGGGAACCTTTGTATGTGTAGCTGCTGCAGAGAGATAAGCTCTGTGTCAGGAACAGTGCTCCTTCCCCTCTAGGGGTTGGGACTCAGCTCCTTCTTGCCTTCTCCCTTCTCACAGGTCCCACTTTCTCTGAACCCCCAGCTCCTGCTCCATCTCACATTTTGCAGAAGTCTTGTTGCCGACTGATCCAGGGCATCAGGCAGCTCATTCTATGCTTGTTTTTGATGCCTGCCAAGTGCTGTCCAAGACCTTGCCAGAGCCCTGACGTGTTGTGTGTGTCTGTGTCGTGGCACCTGCGCACACGTGCAATTTCAGGGTGAGGGAGTTAGAGAGTCTTTCAATAGGTATTTATTTAAACACAAGGATTCAAGGAGCAGGGCTTGTGCTGACACTAAGTATACGAGGTCGTGGCTCGTGTTGTAGACAGGACTGCTGCATTCTCCTCTACTTCCACTCCCTTTGCTGCTGCTCTTGAAATTCCATCCACTAGAAGGGAATCATGTTCTCCGCCTCCAGTTTATCTTGTGCTTGGCCATGAGACCTGCTTAGGTTGATGGCCTGGGAGGGAGGGATCTGAGTCAGTCCAGGCCATGGTTGGATGTCAAACCAGACACCAGCAGGGGTGTAACTTATCGGAGACTGAAGAAAATATCCACAGGTGCCTTGTGAGGGGTTAAGTTTGATAAGACTAACTGGGACCAATGGGGAGACTGTGTTAATTGGTACTTAATGATGGACATGGCCCAGGAGAAGTGTGTGAGGGTCTTAGAGCAGCAACTGGAAGGTTCTCAAGGGGTGCCCACTCAGTGGTGAGACTGTTTGGAAAATTCTATGAGGGTGCTCACTCAAAAACAGAACTGCTTGGCCAAATCTATGGGGGTCATGAACTCTTAGAACAGAGCCACTCCAAAGGATGTAGACTTAACAACAGCACTACTTAGGAGGTCCAGTGGGGCAAGGGTGGACAAGTATTTGCCAGATGTCCCCTGGCAGGTGGCAGGGTTATGGTATTCATCTTTCCACACATCTCTGCTCTGCTGTGAATCATCTCAGGATGGAGGCTTTATAGACTATATAGCGTGAAAGCATTAGCTCGATTTGTTTCATTGTATAACCCGTATTTCACAGGAACAAATGCTTTTGCTTACAAGGAAAAAGGCAAAGTTTAGATAACTTAAATTTGCTTAGTTTCTAGCGTCCTTCAGATACTATTTATCTAGAGTCTGGTGTGGGTATCCTTAAAAGGCAAAAGTCTTGGGGGCGTAAAAGGAGATTTTTGGTAACATAACACTTCATGTCCTACCTTTTAAGGGGATGATGCAGTGACAATGACTTCCACTGTGGGCTGAGCTTGTGACTCCTCTGTGAATCTGGTCCAGAAGCAATGGGAAAGGGTCTGGGATGGAGGAGGAAATGAGAGTCTGCTTTCTGCTTGGATGACTGAATTGAGACACCAGTCCTGTGAGTGAGACCAGGAGGAAGAGGTGGGGGCTGCGCTGCAGACAGACGCTCTGGGACTCTGATCTGCCACTGGTGTTTGTATGACCTGATTCAGTGACTGCATCTCCCTGTGCTTTAGTTTCCCCTCAGGATAAAAGGAAAAAGCCAGGTGGTCTTGGAATTATGCTGACAATACTTGCAGCTTCTGATCCAAAGCTTTACAGGAAGGAGCTACCCAAAGAACCAGCATTTAGGACCATAAGTCCCAGGACACATAAGTTCCAGAATCCTGCCATGATTCCTTCTGGAAAAAGGGCTGGCAAGGACATCACTTCTCACATTTGACACTGGTTCTAATATTGCAAGCACACCCACTCTTTTACAGGCAAAGACAGCTTTATTGGGAGGGAGGGAAGAGGTTTCCACTGAAGGGAATCAGCAATGGTCAAAAGAGAGAGACAGAGAGAGAGAGAGACAGAGACAGACAGGCAGACAAATAGACAGACAGACAAAGCTCTTCTGAAAACAGAGAGAAGCAGGTTTTTATTAATTTGCTGGAGTGGTTCTGGTAATCTGCATTGGCCAGGGGCTCAGTTCCAAAAGATGTTTCTCCTTGTGACAGGAGGTTTGGACCTCCAGGTGGTCCTGGTCAATTTGTCCTAGAGGCTGTCAGATGTCCACGTAGCTGCTTCCATCATCCCACATAAGATATCTCAGCCGAGTGGGTCTGGGTCCTAGGTAAAGGCTGAGGTAAAAGGTCCTAGGTAAAGGTCCTAGGTAAAAGCTGGTGCTCAGGCTTTTGCAGCTGGAGAAATACAAGGATGGAGGCAGAAAAGATGGAGAAGCAACAGGAAGAAAACCCCACGTACCCACCAGCTCCAAATGGACAGTAGGTCAAGCTAACTCTGTAGTAAAGTCTTGCACAAAACATTTCTTGCAGATGAGCAAGTCTAGGTCCACTGCTGAACAGAATCTGGCTCAAGGGTTAATGCAGCAAAGAGGACAGACAACGTTAAGACATAATTTGCAAAAAAAACCACAATGTCAAAATACCAAGCTTTTATCCCATTTCAGTTGGCTGTCAGACATCTGCAGGCCCAAATGAGAAGTCAGTGTTTTCAGAAATATGGTCTTCAAGTTTCTGCAAAGTAACCCAGGCAGCTGTAATTGTAAGCTGCACACCAGGTGCGTAACCTGACAGCAAAGCTAATGGGAAGCTAATAATGTATTTCTCAGCAGTGTGACATCCAAACTTAGTGGTTTTAAGTCTACCATGAACATATGAAGCTAGAGGGCTTATTTAGGGCCCAGCAACAATTTCTCATTCCGTGCAAGTACTGTGTTTCTGTGGTTTTATCAGGGTGTCATGATGGGTCTGTTTGAAAAAGCAGAAGGGTAGATGTCTTAGTTGCTTTTCTCTTGTTGCTGAGATAAAATACACAACACCCATAAATTAAGGGAGGAAAGGTTTATTTAGCTCTCAGTTTGTAGAGGTTTCAGTACTTATGTACTGAATTCCCACTGGCTCCAAGACAGGGTGGCACATGGCAGAGGGGCTACCATTCATGGCAGTGGAAGACAGCAAAAGCAACAAGAGAACTTAACAGTGTCTCTCTGCACTTTTTATCTTATCCAGGCTGCTGGGATTGGGGCGGTGCCAAATCAATCAGTGGGCTGGTTTAGTAACCAGACACCCTGAATCCCAGCCCCACACACTCTAGATTCAGCCACCTCTGAAAAAGCCCTATGACTGCGTGAGGCTTGGGGCTGGGAGTCAAGATACAAACCATAACAGTAGAGAAACAAGATGTAATGTTAGAAATGCTAGTAGTTGAATGAACCCAATCATTTAGTTTCATGGTCCTAGGCTTCTGTCCTACCACAGTTGTCCCTAATATTCGCAGAAACACTGACCTCCCTAAGGCATTTCCTTAGTCCCCATGGCAGTTGGTTAATGGCCTGGTGATCTGTCCTTCTATTCCCTCTACACCAGCTGTTGGTGAAGGAATCAGCTGTGTGACAACCCAGATGTGGCTGTTAGTGCTGCGGCCTGGCAGATGACCAGCTCTAGAAGCTTCTACCTGGTACAGTGGGTACTTTATCGCTCTCAGTCAGTCCCGCCCTGGAGGGTAAAATCCAGCCAGGAGCCCGAGACAGAATCTTGGAGACAGAGGATGCCTGGAGCTGAACTTCTTTTGGGGATTTCAGCAGTTACCCTGATCAAGCCCTCTGGGCCAGGGACCCATGAGGCTGCGGCGAGACTGATCTCCCTCCATGGAGTCCTCTCTGCAGTGAGTGTTGAAGGGTCTAGATTCAGTGAGGGTGACTGGTGTGTCCGGTACTAAATGCTTACACAACTTGTGGACGTGCTGCACAGTGGAAGGGGGCCACAGTCTAGCCCAGCCAGTCCTTGTGTGTGATGTGGAACTAACTCCATCCCCCACTCGAAGGTCGTAGAGAATCACTCACCATGTATGTGGACCCGTCCAGATGCTTTTTCAGCCTGAAAATTTGTATGCATGACCAATAGGGTGTAGAATCCTGCGTTCTTCTGAGTGACATTCTGGATTAGCAGAGATCCATCAGGGTATAGTTCTTGATGGCTGTATGCAGGCCCAGGGATAGTTATCTGAAGGTCTATCAGATACGTACCAATTGCATGGTCACCATATGTTGTTTTTCCTTTGCATCAGTTCCAGGCTAAAATGTTCTCTGGCAGATTGTGAACAAGTAGAAGAATGTCCTTCCCTTCTGTTGCATAGAGGAGCACTGATTCAGTGGTCAGTTGGGCAGTGGTGGGTGGGCTCCAGCAGGTTAAAACTGAGGCTAGGAGAGAGAGAGAGGAATTCATCAACCCTGGGATCTTCAAGGGAAGTAAGTCAGACACAAAAGATAACTATGGCATGTTTTCTGTCATCAGTAGAAACTAAAAGAAAACAAAATGAAGACAGAAAGAAAAGAGATAATCTGAAAATAGAAGAAGGGTTAGTTGGGATAGGGAAAGAGATCAAAGGAGGATGGAGGAAAGGAGGAGTGTTATAGTGGATTGAAACACAGCATGACATATAGGCAAGGAAGGAAATGTCACAGAGAAACCTGCTCATCTGTGCAATAATCGTGCTGATAATTATAGTAAAAAGAGAAAAATACTGAGACCTTTTTTTTTTTGGTTTTTCTCCAGTACCGGGAACCGAACTCACGACCTTGTGCTTGCCAGGCAGGCGTTTTTGCCACTCAGCTAAATCCCCAGCCCCTGAGACCTTTGTATTGAGTGGAAAGATCATGTTCTGGGTCCTGAGCAGGTGTCTTTACCCATCAGGCAGAGCGCGAGTGTGTGTGATATATGTATTTTTGTGTGTGTGCTTTAGCATTTGTGGATACATACAGATATATATATATAATCTGTATGTGTCTGTTCTGGGTCAAGATCAGCAGCAGGACCGCATTCCTTCAGTGCCCCTGAGCTTGTCATTTCCTCCATTTGGAGCCCTCTGCCCCAGGTGTCTGCTTGGCTCAGGGCTCACTGCCCTCGGATCCCTGCTCACATCCAGGGCGTCCTGGAGCGTCCTTCCCCTCACTGTTATTCCTAGAGAGCCTGGCGCTTCACTTCCTCACCCACTTCCCTGCTCTCTTCCTTCTGAGGCTCTTGTCGATGCCTGACCTCTCTTTCTAGATGTCCTTGCTTGTCTGTGTTGCTGCCGGTTAGGACGAGAGCTCCACGAGGACAGACTCTGGTCTGATCTCTGTTGGAGCCCAGGGCCTGGTACAGCCTCAGACACCTGTGCATGGATGAGCGAGGGCTCCCAGGACCCTGCGTGTCCTGGGGTTTATTTGCCTGGTTTCTGAGGTTGGTTCTTAGGGCAATATTTGATGCCCAGTAGTGCTTTTCTTTGGAGAGTCACCCCGACACAGTTTTAAGAATTTTAACATATAGTGGCCATAACTCAGCGGCGCAGTGCCTGCCTGAAACATAGTGGCCAGTGATGATGAATTGACTTGGAAAAGAGAGCAGTGGAGTTTTCCCTCCTTCGCTGTTTCCAATCCACTGAGAGTTTCCTGTTACTGACCCTTATGCCTCTGTTTTGTGTTTTCTCCTCTCAAGCTCAATACAAAAGCACTGTGTCTCCTCTTAGGGTCTTGCATTTTCTAGGCGACCCCGGCTGGTGCTTGTGCCGATATCCTCCCACCCACTCCCAGGAAATCGTCTTCTCTCACCTGTGAGCAGGAGCGCCTGCCAGGGGATGTGCCTTCTGTGGGGAGGTGCCCAGGGAGGCTCCATGACCTCGGCTGCCTGCTCTGTTCCCCCTCTGCAGAGAAGCTTCAACTGCTCCGGGGGTCGGCTCTGCCGTCCTTCCTCCTTCTGAGCAGAGCTGCCTCCTAGGGCAGGCACACTTCCTGGAGTCCTGGGGGTGGGATCTCTGTCCAGGAGGCCTCTCTGTCTCCTCCGCCCTTGGTCCTGCCTGCTGTTCTGTTTCTGTTTCTCACTTCCCCTTTGTGACCTCTTAACATCCCAGCACACTTAAGCAGGAGGGCTGAGGAGGGAGTCAGTTATGAGTCAGAGAGGGCTGTGAGGGGGCAGTGTGGGGTGTCCCAACCACGTGGACGGAGCTAGTCTGTGGATAATAGAGTGCAGCCCCGGGAAAGACTCCCTCGGGCTGAGACCTGCTGGCAACGGGCGCTTCCCTGGGAAGAAAGGGTGAAAGGGCAGCAGATGAATATACAGAGACGGTCTCCACAGGGGGGGTGACTGAGGCCGAGGTGGGAGGTTGGAGAAGGAAAATGACCGTGGGCTGAGGCGGGCTGTGGCGGCTCAGACCCTGCCAGACTGTGGCCCCTGCTGAGGGATCAGCAGCCCCCGAGGAGGTGCAGGGCTGGGGAACAGCCCCCTCTGGTGGACTGTGAGGAGAGGATAGAAGGCAGAGTCAGGAAATAATTTTTATGCAACCTCATCCTGAAGCGTTTATCCATTAACATGTAATTTTAATGAGGGGAAATGTTCAGACTTGCATTCTCAATATTTTTCCGAGATCTGCCCACGGAATGTCATGAAACTCGGGTGTGCGGTCTGAAGCCAGGCCAGGCTGGGTCTGCAGAACTGGGGATCCAGCCCCATGCGCACGGCCCTCGGCTCGGCTGAGTGTGTGTGAGGAGGAGAGGGGAGGACCCGTGTCTGTGAAGACTCACACGAGCCAGCGTGAGCAGGTGGACAGGGCTCCAGTGTCTGCTTCCCACAGGACCTCGGAGCAGCTGAAGTCCGAAACCAGGGCAGTACTGCGCCCTCAATCTCATCCTCCCTCCTTGGGAGCTTTTCTGTGCTCTGAACCCTCAGGGTATCGCAGCATCCCCGATGCCACGTGGACATTCCTTCAGCAGAGAAAGAGGCAGCAGGGCGGGAGACACCTGTCACCCCTCACAGCTGCCCGCTCCTCCTTCGAGGGACAGACCTCTGGGGGCCCTGCTTGGAACCAGGCTCCTTCGGCTCTGCAGCTCCTTCCAGAGCCAACAGAATTTGGGGTAAATGCTGTGAGGCTCTCTCTTTTCACCATTCACAATCAAGATCCAAGCGGGGAATGGGAATCACACATCTTCTCCCCTCCTTGGGGGGACTCAAGGCATGTCCCAGGAAGGTGTAAGTGTGTGGGATGCAGACAGATGGGATCCTCACCCCCAGTCAGCCTCCACCTTGTGATACAATCGGCTGTCCTGGGTGGGTTCTACCGGGATCACTAAGGTCCTCTGTAGTCATATGCCTGAGTCTGGCTGTGTTGGGACATCTGGCTCAGCGTCCTGCTCCCTGCTGGTTCTGATGTGCTTCCTCCAGCACAGGGAAGGGCGGGGTTCCAAGAGCCCCACAGTCTACTTCTCCATGCCCAAGGGAGCACCTCTAATGGGCAGTTCATGTTTGTAGTTGATACAGGAAAATAAAAACTCCCAACCTGAATGATATCTGGGATGAGTTTGTGCTCTCTAAAATCGAAGAATGAATTTTAGGAACAACAGAGGTTAAGAGCAGAATATATTTATTGAGGGAAAGAAAGCTTCTGTCCAAGAGAGGGACAGAAGGGGGCCCGAGTGGGTTGCCAAGGACCTTGCCCTTCCCAGGGACTTTATAGAGCAAAACCCTGATGTGAGGCAGGTCCAAGGTAGGGGGAAGATGGGAAATTGCCAGGTGGGCATGAGGTGGGACAAAACTATGGTCAGACAATAAGATTACAAGTATAATTGTTCAGGTAAAATTGAGTAAACTGGGATCAAATGGGGAAGCGAGTCATGTAGCAAGCTGGCATGAATACAAAACAGGGGCTTTTCCTGTAGGGGGTTGGGCTAGTGACTCTTTCTGGCTTTTTGAAGGTGGTTGTTACCTATTTAGAATACCTGATGTTCTCATCTAGGGAGGTATGTGGGTGCATTTGTTTAGTCCTTTGTCTTGAGATGTGGCCCACAGGTATCTTATCCTGTCTTTCGTGTTGGCTCCTTCGAGGGCCTGGCCCTGTCTGACTGCCTATAATATTTCTATCTAACTTAGCTGCCTATAACATAGTGACTGAATTATTAGGAATAGATGAGATTCTTGCCTTCTGATTGTCATAGATTTGTTCTTGCTTATTTTTACCTCCAGGGAGGTGAAGGCAGTAGAGCACATTTTCATCTCCCTGAATGTCAGGGTAAATGGTGTCAGGAAAAGTTTGGCGGCAATGTGACACCCTCAAGGGGGTGCAGAAAATACAGATGGTATTGTGCTTGTGTATGAACAGATATAGTGTAGCTTCTTTTCCTACCCAAGAATCCTGGAAACCTTGTGTTTGGTGTAGCCCCATGGGTTCAGCATATCTACAGAATAAAGATTTGCTTGGAATTAGATTTTCACCAGATGTTTTAAGTTTTCTCTTTATATTCTAGCTTCATAAACATGCAGACCCCACTTGAACAGGGATTTAAGACAGTGAGGTCGCCTCTGCCACTTGTTTGATTTCAGTGTAAGTTCTGTCTAGTTGCTTTACCATTTCACCACAGCCCTAAACCCGCACCTGACTATGAAGGCCTCTCCAAGGGACACGCTCGGGGGATCTGGGGGGCTGTGAGGCAGAGGTGTGACTAGGGCAGAGTGGGGTGGGACAGATAATGTGTGAGGGGCTTCTGAGGGGAATTGAGTGTGGAGGAAACAATAGTGTATTCCTTTGGATGGAGGTGCAGTGACCATGTTTTGAAGGTCTCAGGTTCAGGTACACGTGTTTGGTGCAGGGCCCAAGATGACCAGAGTGCAAATTAGCGCTCCTACCAATGACCCTTGAGTAGAGCTGTGAAATATCATCCCTCTGCAGGGCAATGTGTGTAAGACCTGGCCAGGTCGGGATTCCTGGGTCCTCCTGGGGCCCAGAGCTCAGGGGTGGTGACATGAGGGCTTGACCTACAAACCTGCCTTGGTCACATTCTTCTGTCCCACAGGGAGGCCTGCCCTGTCCTTGTTACATCACCTAAGGGGCTCCCTGCCCTGAGGCATTTCAGAGGAGGTAAACAGCGTCGAGGGGGCTCTGGAGCGGTAGTGTTGCATTTCTGGGCTTGGGGTCTTCTGTCATCTTCATCACCTCCCAGCTCAGCTCTAGACCTCAGACAGGAGGGCCGGTCAGGGACAGCTCTTGAACCAATGTCATTAGACAGTTATCGTCACAGTTGGAGGACAGTGTGTAACCTTTGGTAACAGTTAGTGTGAATATTATGATAGTAGTTTCTCATTTTTCAGACTCAGAATTTGCAGCCAAATGTCATTGACTTATGTTACGGTTCAGGACCATTCTGTCATGGTGATGAGCATGTGGAAGGCATCTCGTACACGACCATCTGTGGGTTTGGACCTGCTTTTTTGTTGTTGTTGTTAAATGGGTTCTCTGTTATTCTGTTGCTCAGCTACATGGTGATGTTTGGCCACATCCTCCAGCTGGGCTGGACACCATCCCTCCTTTCCATCCTGATGAGCTGTTCTTCAGGAATGTCCTCATTCTCTGTCAGTTTAGAGCATGGCTCCAAGAGATTGTTCCCTTCACTTACATGCTTGAAGCACCTGCACAGGCCATGGGCCGCTTGCTGGCAGAGTTAGAGACAGGGCAGTTCTGGTCCTGCTTTCTTTGAGTCTAAGCTCAAAGGGGCTCAGAAGGAGGGTACTGGCCAAAGCCTGCACACATTGAATCTGCTGAGGACGAGGTTGCTGTGAATACTGAGCTACACACTCATCAGGAGTCAATGGAAATGTCCATCTCCAGCGTCCTCACTTCACTGGAGTAGTCCCAGGAGTAGAAAGTGTATGCTATCACATGTCCATTCCTCTAATTCATCTTTCAGCCACCACCCGCCTGCCACTTCTCCTTGCTGTAAATGCCCCTGGCCTTGCTCTGTGGTGGACCAGACGCCAGGGTCCCTGGCAGGTCCTGACATGCTCCTTCTGCTGGCTCCTCCAGGAGCTCTGGTTCCACAGGTTTCTGTTCTGAGCACAGGTGACTCCTGCAGAAACAGATGATGCAGAGGCTGTCAGTGAGCACTGAGTGTTCCAGTGAGGCTGTCATCTCTCTGTTCAGGATCAGCAAAGATAGAGGGGAGCAGGTGGCCGAGGTGTTTGGTCATGAGGCAGGGAGATGGGTGTGTTTGAGCTCTTGGAACAGGTATGAGAGGGCATTCGAGCTAGGAACACTGAGGCTGGAACCTGCCTTCCAGGACAGAGAATAGCAATGAAGTTGTCCTGGCTCAGTGGGGCTGGGGAGCAAAGCAAATTGGATTGGACCTGGGATTGGACGGCGAGAAGAGGTGTGTTCCGTGTGTCCCTGCCATAGACATAAGAAGGAGTGGGACGGGGAGTGGCTCCTGGGTAGTAGAGCTTCTTTATTCCAGCTGTTTCTTCAGTGCTAATCCATGCAGAGGGTCAGTACAGATCTGAGGCTGTGTTCTGCATGAGGGGTTGAGGTGTCCTCTGAGATCAAGAGAGGGAAGATAGGGACAGGACGATCCTGCACATTGAAGCTGAGGTGGAGCCCGAGGTGTCTTACATGGAGATTCTGCCCAGACCTGGGCCTTGGATTTGGGTATCAGGGGCAAGTGTCTGTCATTGTCTTGGTTGCTATGATTTAGACCCAGTGTTCAGGGACCCAGAGCACAAGACACCTATTGGGGGAGACTCCAGTATCTGAGAAGTTTTATGTGATGAGAACTAGGACTCTGGAGAGACAAAGCCTCAGGGATGTCCCAGACCATCCCTGCAAAAGGTTGTACTGTGCCTTTCTTTTCTAGAGTGGAAACGGAAGCCTTTTCAGCAGCCCTTCTCATTTGTGTCCTCCCCGCTGCGGAATCATGGCCCGAGACGCTGTCCGTGGTGCTGGCGACGGAGGTGGGGTGGTGAGCTGTGAGCTCCCAGTACTTTGTATTCCTAACTGCTGAGCATTATCACCCTGGAGAAAGTGGTGGGCGAGTTCTGGAGTGTGGTGTGCCCGCACCCCATCTCTTCCCTCTCAGGAGCTGGAAGGTGCTGTGGATGCCATTGTAGGAATTGACACCGCATTCTGGTCAACTGAATCCAGGTGTCCATGTGTAGCTTTTAGCGAAAGAAGGGGACAAATGGGCCTTGAGAGGTGTGTTGGACAGAGCAAATCCCCTTCCCAGTCATCCCTAGCCTCGTCTACAGAGTCTGTGGACATGTGTCATGAAAAGAACACTTTACAGACCTCATTAAACATCATGAGCTGGAGAGATTCTTGGTTTTTGTACAGTTGGGTCCAGAGGAGCTACACTTCTGGCTTCAAAGGTAGAGGAGGGGGCCACAGACTAGGGAGGTAGGTGACTGCCAGAGGTTGACAAAGGTGAGGAAGTGGACTGTCCCTCGGAGCCTCCAGAGAGAATGCACCCACACTGACACCTTAATTTGTGTTGTTTTATGCCACTGTGTTTGTGGCAATTTGTCACAGTATCAGTAGAAAACAA